TATATCCAACGTAAGTAAATTGTCTAGCGGTTAGTGGTGTAGGTAGTCGATATAGCATGTCCTTATTTCTTTCTATATCGATGGGAGTGCTGGATAAAGGTAAGCAAAGAGGGTTAGTGAAATGATAGTATGAGGTCCAAGAGAGAGTGGGCATTAAAACGTATTCATCTACAAAGTTGCGTGTTTCGTTGGTGTCGTGAGGGGTGTTTAAGGTGTATTGTGGGAATGAGGGTAAGGTGATGGCTAAAAATTCTTTTGTGTTAGTATGCTGGGGGTGGTTGATGTATTCACGGGCTGTTCCTGGTTTTGCTGGGAAAGGATGGTTGGGGAATTTTCTTTTAAAAGTGCGATAAGCTCTATTAGTGTTGAGTGAAGATATAGTGGATGTGGATGATGGTGTTAATGATTCAGTATAATTTGAAGAGGGTGTAGGGGTAGGGGGGTTGGATGAATTTATAGTGGAGGAGATTTGGTTTATGGTTGGGGTATTAAGGTGGTAGGGTTGTTGTTGGAGGATAATAAAATTATCTAGCTCTGGGGAGATTCGGGGGGTGTCTGGAGAATGAGATGATTGGTCAGAATGGTATGAGGAGTAGGTTGGGGTAACTTGGGAAGCATAAGAGGGTGTGGAAGTGATTGGGTCAGGGTTATTGGATAATATGGGTTGAAAAGGGGGTTGAGAAAAATTTGAAGAGTTATGAAAATTATTGGATGGGGATGGTTCTGAGTCGGCAAATTCATCGGGGGTTTCAATATTCGGGTTATTGAGCTGTGAGATGGAGTATAAAACTGAAATATGTGAGTTAGTGTCGGAATTCATGCCTGATGTTACATTGCTAGATGGGAAATCGGGTGGCGGAAAAGCAAAAAGTGGTATTATTGGGATTGGAGAGGTAAAATTGGTTGGGTGGGAATTTGATCGGTGTAGTGATCCAAGTTGTCGGCTCATCGTGGGCTAAAAAAATTATTATTTTGAGACTGAAAAGCGGTGGTATGGGGTTGTTCAATAATTTGTTCATAAGTATTATCATCTTGTGATTGGTGTGTCATTATATGTTGGATGGGACTTTGTGATGTGGTGAGTCGAAAATTTGGATTATGTGTGATTGCTAAATTTCGAAAATTTCGTGGGACTAGGGATAGTGGATGGTTATGTGGTAGTGGTGGTAAATGTGGTGCCGTTGGCGTTGTGTCTACATTGTTATGTTCTTCGTCGTATGTGTTTTGTCGTGTTGCTATTTTTGTGTTGTATTCTTTTATTTGTGCGTCTAAAAGAATTTTGTTTATAGATGTAGAAAAAATTCCAAAAAATCCTGCAAAGAGTATGCGTGCTACGCTTGCTTGTCTGTTTACTTGTGTGTGTATAGCACATGTGTTGTAGATTCCTTTTAAAAGTGAGAAAAGAAATCCAATAAAGTTAAACATTGCGTATAAAATAGTCAATTTTTCTAAGATGTAGTAGGGCCATCCTAGAAAATCGAGGATCTCATTTTTGAGTGTAACAAAGCTAAAAATGTTAATTGGTGATATATCTTGGGGACGGTATTTTTCGCCGTTTAGATATATATAATCTTTAATGTCTTTAAAATATCCGCTATAGTCTTGCGTGTAGATATCGGCAAATCCTGCGGTTTCTGCAAGTTTGCGTAGATTTGGGTCAATTGATTGCCTTTGTATAGTGTCCATTTGTGTCAATAATTCTTGGAATTGTTGTGTTCTAATGTGATGTTGAATATCCGATTTTGAATATATTCCTATTGATTGTAAGTCTATATTTGGGTTTCGAGCAATAGCGCGAATGCTTTCTGTTGAAAATTTTTTGAGTGATTGCATTAATGTGGGATATGGAGTGAGGAGATAATATTTATTTTCATCAGGATTTAGTTGAACTACATTGTGGCTATTTTCTGATCCACATGGGACTGCGGTATCCCAGAAATAGGTTCTTCGTGAAAGTGTATCCACGAAATGTACTTTATTCTTATAAAAGATAGGGATTCTTTTATAACATCGTTTGTCTTCATAAACGTATAGTGGTGATACTTTTTTAGTGCAAGTATAAAACCATAAGATGTTTCCTTCATAGTCTAAAAAATTTGATCTATTTCCTGATAATAAGTATCCTGCATAGGGTATTTTTAATACTGCTAGTGCAAGTGATTGTAATATTTGTGTTCGTTCTAATTCGCATAGTTGGTGTAGTGTTTCTAATTCGGAGAGTGACATTTCTTGAAAAATTCGGCTAATTGTATAGTCTAGTTTCATATCTAAATGAATATCATAGTGAATATTATCGAAATATGTAGTATTCATTAGTGATAATTCTTGTAAGCGTGTGCTTCTGGTGTCATAGGGTTTTAGATGTCCACCAGGTTGTCCGTTGCTTTTTTCAAAATTAACTGGTATATATGATGTTCCTTCGTTTGGAGGATGACCTGTGGCATATGGGTCAATTTTTATTTTTCCAGTGGTCATGTCGAATCCTTTTTCGTATTCAACTAATATTTCAGAGTATTGTGTTCTGTGAAGGGGATTCCTGTATTTACATGCAAGTTCTGTTTCTTGATATATTTGAAAACGTGTCAAATTATTTTCTATATTGTGTATGTTTCTAAAATTAGTACTTTGTTTTCGTGATGGATGTACTTGTTCATATGGAATTGATTGTATAAAATACTTTTCGTGAAATTTTATCATACGAGCGTGTATTCTTGCTACTTGAAATGTCGTACATGTATCTTCGGGGAACCAAACAATTGTTGCTTGTGTTCTCGTTGTAGGATCGCAATAACCTTGATCATTTTTACAAGGTAATCGGATTCCTTGATAGATCATTGTATTATCTGATAAATCTCGTGTGAGTTGTATTTTTTCGAGTTGTATTTTCCAATCGAAAAACATTATTTCTTGGTATCCTTTATTTTTCGTGTCTGCTTTGCAGTTTGATGGATTATTTATACCAATGTGTGGTATCCAATGTTTATCGTGTAGGTCATAGGTTAATCGTCCGTGTGCGCCGTTATACGGGTATTTGTCGTCTAATTTTATATGTCCTTGGTGTCTTTCAAGTTGTGATTGATGTACGGAGTCTGAAAAAACTTGAAAGTTAACTAACTTTCTTTCGCAGTTTTTATTTCGTGTGATGTTTAGTCTAAGTAATTCATTTTTACAATCGTCGGGATTGAGATGTACTAAGCGGAATCTGCAAGCGGAATCTAAACAAGTAACAACATTTCTTTTCAAAATTCGTAACTTTATTTTCATGTTCAACAACTAAGCGGAATCTGCAACAAGGCCAAAAAGTAATCTGTCTCGGAATCTTCAACAAGGCAATTTCGCTCATCGGAAAAATGGCTCAAACAATTTATCGCTATAAGCTGTTGCTGAAGCAGCAAACTCAACGAAATCGAGAACTGAGTTTGCTGGATCTTAAAACATGCTATATATACAATTTACATAGTAGATTGGGTTGTCGCAGGATCATGAATTGTAAGTGGAGTCCGCATTCTTTCTGCGGAATACGCAACAAGAAAATTATACGTTCAGGAGCAATTACTTGTGCCATCGTTGTAACCTTTGTTTTAAAGTTTTTTAGGATAAATTATTTTTGAGAATTAGGTTGTCTCAGGATAAACTATCCTTAGGATAACTCTTTTTTATTATTTAGAGTATTTTAGTCTAAATACTATTTCAGGTATTTTACTATGAGATTGCAAACATTATTTTAAATTTCTATGCTATAAAATTGTTCGATGTTTTATGATAAGCAATTTTCCATGCAAAAAAAAATGTTTAACAAGCTTTTTTATCAACCCAGTTCATTTTCTCAAGCTGCAATTTTTATTCTAGTTAGCTTTTTAAAGGGCATCTCTGTTTATGAATTATTTTTGAACTTTCAAAGCCTGTTCAGGCTGCTAAAGTTTCACATTCACGATTTCAGTTGAAGAAGGGTGAAAGATTTGTGATGCGATTTCACTGACAATGGTTCTTATTTCTAAGCTTCGAGCCTCTTTTTCACTATTGCGCGGTTAATTCTTCAAAAGCTTAATTGATCCGCCTTCGTTGCTCAATAGAGCTAGCTGTTAATTTCTAACACTTGAATTGCTTTTTAGCTCCGCTATAAGTCCACTTACAACTTGCAGAGTACGTCTACATTTTGCAGAAAAAAACAAGACTGCTCGTATCAGGGCGAAGCCCTGAATGTTCCGACTGTCTTTTAAGGTTTTATGGAGCAGTAAAAACAATAAATAATTAAATGTAATAAAATGATTTTTTGTCTAAAATTTGAAATTTTTTATAAAAATCATCCCCCACACGCCATTAAAAGTACATTAAATAATTAAATGTAATGAAATAAAATGAATTTTTTTTCTAAAATTTGACATTTTTTATAAAAATTATCCGCCACACGCCATTAAAAGTACAAAAAGATAGATTTAGCTCCTTGTAAGAAATCAAATATGGCAAATAAGCTTCTTTCAACCAATTTGGAACGATCTATAAGACTGATTAAATCTCCGGCTTACGTGTTAACGACGCGAAATATATCGCGCGCTATTTGTCCCAAATTGGCCAAAATGGCAACCTTTAAACCCACATAACTCTACAAAAAAAACGATCAAAGGTAAAATATCTTTTCAAATTTGAGCTCAAGACAACAATACCTTTTGAATTTTATAGAAAAAAAATTCTGTCAAAAAGTCTAGTTAAAAAGTCGAAACTTGTCTGACGAAAAAAAAAACCCACCCCGAGCACAAATATTCCGTTATTTTTGTTACGAAAGTCGGAACAAAACAGAAAGCCGCTACATTCACTCAGTTTGGATGCCACGACACCAAAAAGCTGGCGAAAAAAATGTTTGTGGATTGCGCAACGATTTGAAAAATGGCTTGTACAAGCTTTGACATGTTTGATGGCTTGTCTCCGATTTCCAGAGGGACACACCCACCAAACAAAAACAAAGCTATTGAAAAAAATAGGGCTGTTTCTTCAAAACGGGGTCTGCAAAATTGTGAATTTATGTTACATAAATCATTCAATCCGGAATTCTGTACTGTAAAGTAAAACAATAGAAAAATAGAGAACCAAAATTTCAAAATATAGACAAATTAGCAACAATTTCAATTCAGTAGCTGTAACTATAGATCACTTTTCAGTATGTTTGATGTCGTTTTAGAGTTATAAATGACAACTTAATTGGATGGACTAATTGGGCAACTGGAGGTTTATCGAGGGATATATTTTGGGTTAATTCTAAAAATCACCCCTCAATTTTGGGCAAGTTTGACTGTGGTAGGGTGTTGGGTTTCTTTTTCAGTTCGTTCTGATATCTCTGATACGACACTTGATAGTTGTTGCTGTTCCCGCCCAAGTACGGTAATTGAATCCCGGCGGGATTCGAACCACCGCCACCGGGATTGGAGCCTTGAAGGTACTTTGAGTTAGTGGTTGTTCCGTGGAATGCGGGTTGGTTGAATGTATGTGACAGGAAACTGTTGCTGAGTTGCAGTCGTTTACTATTTGTGCCCCCACCCCCAATAGCATTGGGCGCTGCACCATTCATTGCTCCTCCCCCTGCATATTTTGAGGCAAAGAAGGGCTGCAATTCCGTCCGGTGTCTGGTGTTTTTCTTCTGAAAATTAACAAGAATGAACAATTAATTTTTTTTAAAAAAAGATCAACAAATTGAAGCAACGCACATAAACACATTCAGTTTTGATCAAACACAGCACTTGATTGTTTGTTTTTTCTTCTTTTTTTTGTATTTTTGTGAAAATTTGAACCATTTGTTTTTCACACGTTCATCAATTGCTTGAAGACACCTTTGACACCAAGAGAATCACAAAGATGCAGAAAAAGATCAAACTAATATCAGTTCATTCAATCATGACAACTTATTAATAGAATCATAAAAATGAACTCTATGATTTTAAAAGTCAGTTTGACAGGTGACAAAAACGAAGTCAAAGATAAGACAAATAGGATTCCTTTTCATTTCATAATTGCATGCGTGACCATACATTCATTTACAAGTAAAATTAATAACTGGATGGGTCAAATTAGTGATGACAGGTAATCAGATTGAGGTCAATCAGTTATTAGCCCTTCCTTGGAAAGGATCAATTTACACAACATAGTGATAACTAACCAACTACACATTGATAATTAGATAATTGGAATACAATCAAAATGAGCTACATTTGGCCTGTCTTCAAGCAATCGCAAGGTACGCCTTTCTGGGTGCTAGGTAATAAAAACGACATGACATTAAGACGACAACTGAGTGCTAAAATTTAAAATGTTCGATATTAAGCAGTTTGAATTTTTCAGAAAAATAACTGGAGGATTTTTAGTAGCGTCAGTCTTAAAAACCTGTCACAACACGGTTGTCGTCTTATGATCTGTCGTCTTATGTGCCGGACACCCCCGTTCCGAACCCGTTGTTCTTGCTGTGCAATGAGTTACCTGTAAGGACGAGCTTCTGTAAATTCTGCGGAGCGGCGAATGATGTTCCAGCATAGACTACACATAACGAGATGGAAATGCATGATGGCCTTTCAAAATTTTACAACACAATTTAACCAATGTCGTAAATTTACAAACAATTCCGCTAAAACTAATATTTCGATCTGTCTTTGTTTTTGAACTTTTGTTAAATGAACAAAAATTGCACATGATTCATCGTTGAAATGGTCTTGTTAGGGCTTGATACTCTTTGCTATAATATAGCCACTAGACAGTGCGAATGAAAAACAAAAAAAATCAAAAAAGACTGATATTTTTCTCATGTATTTTCAAAGACAAAACAAATGAGCTTGGAGCAATGACAATTTTCACGTTTTAAAACAGAAATTTCAAATTTTTTTTTGATTAAATTAACCTTAATTGAGAAATTGGATGATGAGGCTGGCATTATCCGCTGAGATATTTAACCTCTTGCTTTGAAATAAGAGATATTAATTCAAGTTTTTTGTTGCCATTTGCTCTTTCATTCCTGAGAGCGTAATTTGCCAGCCATTAAGCAAATCAATTGCAGGTGAACATAAAAGGAAATCAAAGGCATACAGCGAAAAAAGCGCAATTAATTGAACGTGAAAAAAGCAAGGAATAACCGTACGACCTAAATAAGTGTCTTAATATAGCAAAAATTGGAAAAATTACTCAAACTTCGATTTTGTAAAATTAAAAATCTTACAAAATATCCAACACTGAAGAGCCAAAACCGAAAGCTAGCTCTACTTCGCTTAAAATCAATAGATTTCTTACTGTGCGCCTTTCAAACGTATCAATTTGCAACTGGCTGCGATGTTTCAAGTTTATTTTTCAATGAACAAGTTCCAATGGAGCCAAAAATACAATTTCCCGAATGTAAGAAATTTGCCTTTTCTTGTCTCTAAGACATACACAGTTGGTAAAAACCCTTCTCTTATGGTTTTTGTACTATGGTCCACTCATTTGTTGAAATTGAGAAATTGTGAAAATTGTAAGTATAACATTCTTCTTGAAAATATATGAAAAAAAAATACTTTCACCGCAAAGTTTCACAGAAAACAAACGGTGACCCATCAGAAAACAAAAACAATTTTTGAAATTTTTGGTTGCGCATCCAAATAATTTGAGATAATTTCGATAAAATTACTTTTGGCAACAATTGCTGGAGAACAAAAACGATATTGCGACTAAAAATTTTAGTAACAAAATTTTGGAGTAGTTTGGTATTTCAAGTCAAGAAACTATTTAGTTTAGTTCAGTTAGCAAAAGACAACCCTAATAAAATTTCTAAAGTATAAAAATTGCATGCCGATCAAGTTTTCATGAAAACAAATTAGGACATCAAATGACTAGCTTATCGGCTATCGGGTCAATGAAATTATGACTCATTTGGCATTTGATTGCAATCCTGTTTATAGGTGGGAAACTTTTTGGCATGTCTCAGAGGATTCTACTTTTATTCAAAACAAGCTTCAATCGTGCCTTTCTTAACTTCAAGAGTCGGCCATAGTGATGTCGATTTAAAAAAAATGAAATTTAAACTAAAACTGTTAAAGAAAATCATAAAAATTGCTGGCATCAATTTAAATTTTTCATAGACAAAACACTTCAATTTCTTTTAATTTAAATTTTATAATGTCTATTTTTGCCATTTTTTGGTGTTTTTCACAACTTTGAAAAAAGATATTAAAGCAATTTTTCAGGCGCATATACTTGTAACACTTGTTCAGTTTTGTCGTACTGACTTAGATTTTACTTTTACCGTGGAAAAGTGAAACTAATTGAAATAAGTCAACTAAGTTTTGGCATCGGATCAAGCAATTGAAATATTTTTCGATTTTTATGGCTCGATTTAAATTAACATTTTTCATTTAAATTGAGTGGGCTCATAACTTTTCATTACAAATAATTGAAATTTAAAAGAAAAAAATTATTTCATTTTTTTTTAATGGACATCATTGGTTAGAATATCGCCGAATGAGCAATGCAGCTAGTTACGACGCCAAAACTTGAGTGTATATTTCTTGAAGTTTTTCATGAGCGCCTAGTGTTCTGATATTGTGTCTTTGATAACTGTGTCCAAAAAATGGTAATATAATAAAAAATGGTAATATATATAAAAAAAATGGTAATATAATAAAAAATGGTAATATAAAGTTTGTACGACACCGAAGTTAGAGTTGGAGTCCAGATTCAAAAAAGCAGTAAATCCGGTCGAGAAAAAGTCAAGGCGAAGCCAAGACCTGTCGAGATTCGATTTTACCATTTTTTATTGAGACCTCTAACCTATTTTGATCTCGTGACGGTAACTAACAGCAGCACAGAGGACGAGAAACCGCCCACAGATCAAAATACAGAACTAAGCCACTGGCTCCAAAATACATTTCTTCGCTCATCATTAAAAATGACAAAACTATTCCGTTTTTCTTAGAATGAACAAAGAATCGAATCATTTTAATCGCAACCTTTGATGTAGAGGTAAGAAATTTACCTCTCTGCCTAAAGAACTTGGTTCGAATCCAAGTTCCTCAAAGCATGCAAATTTGAGCTATCCAAAAAACATGCAAATTTGAGAACTTAACGCACTTAAAACCGTAGTCTGCTTTTTCTAAAAGTAAAAACCAAGCTCTAGTCTAGGTGTCTAAAGTCTGTTTTTCTTTGATGCTTAGATCAAATTTTTAGCTCAATAAATCATCATGTAAAATTAAAAAAAAACACGTTTTACGACGCAACAACTGGTTGATTATATTGCTTTCATTTTGTTCCAAACGAATAGCTTCAAAACGACTTGAGGAATCCTTGCAAATACCATTATGCTAACATTATTTTGAATCGATTTGTGCAACGGCTTGAAAAAAAAAATGAATGATTTTTAAAAACTACATTAATCAAAAAAATACATTCATCAAAATTTAAAAAAACTTTCATTTAAGCAGCCAGAAGCTAAATTGTGATTCGATTCAAAACAGAAAGCATGAAGTTGATCGATTGCATGATTTTATCAATTACGATGAAAATCTAATGGAATCTAAGCTTCAATGGAATTGTAGAAATGGAATCGTAGCTTTGATTGATAATTAGGGTGAAATATATGTTTTGTTACCTTTTACTTCAGAATAGTTCAATCATTCATTCTCAAAAAAGAATGAAATGTTTCCTGAAACTTTACAAGTATTTGAAAAGGAAAAAAAAACATGAAATCATCAAGAAAAAATGAAACTGGACATAATAAACGTCATAATTTCAGTTGCCTTCATTGTTTTCTCAGTATTGTACCGGTTTTACTATTCAGTCTAAAATAAATACTCTAACCGTATGTCCAAAACAAAACAAAAACATTGCACAACAAACAGTCTGTCACTGTATTTTATAGACATTTTAATCTTATTAATTCACTTCAACAGACAAAAGAATTAATACGCGGTGATTAAAATTGGTGCGTCGATAGAACTTGACAAAAATGGATTTGTTTTGAAGTTAAAGTTGTAAGGCCATTGAATTACCGTAAATTGAAACTTTTTGAATTACCGTAAATCAAAAAAATAATACTTTTATTGTTAGGGCTATTTTCAAAAAAGTTTATTCGAAAAAATTATTGTTAGGGCTATCTTTAAAACCAAGAGAACTAAATTCTGGCACCAGTAATTCATTTAGTTGATATCAAAGACCTTTTTAAAGGTGGTAAAAATTTGATTTCATTTCTATGTCTTTTTTTCATATAATTTTTTTTGTTTCTTATTTATTTCAGAAGCTGTTTACCTTGGAATGCGATATGGAGTTGATGTTGTTTGGGTTTATTTTGTCTGGCGAATTAGAAGAACTGTTATTATGTGAATTTGGGCCTCCCACTTGTTGATGACCTTGTTGAATGTTGTTGTTGTTTGTGAGAGACCCGCTTCTTCTCTCAGCACTGTTCAACCCCCCTCCCCCTCCCCCACCCTGATTTGCATTCACTGCTTGTTGTCTTTTAGCTTCTCTCTGGGCCCGCAGTTGATCACTACACAAACAAACAAATATTAATTACAAAAGAAAACGAGTATTGTATTTCTATAAACTAATCGCAGTTACTAATTAATAATTAAGAAAAAAATGTTAAAACATTTTTAAACTGCAGTCAACAATCAATGCAAGAGAAGGTGACGGTTGAAAGGACCTTCACAATTGGTTCCCAGAACTTCGGGTTGTTTTTCAGCAATTAAACAACTGAACAAAATTAGCATCTAAGCAAAGTAAATCATAGCAAATAAAATATCGAAAAATGCAAACCAGCTTTTCAGACCAATTTTCTCGACTCTTTTTTTTGAATTTTTTTTCGAATCTAATTTGTGATACCAACCTAGAACCCCGAAATGATCTGGAAAACCCCATTCTATGCAAAATCTAGTCATTTTGTGACGTTTTGTTACGCAAAAACTAGTCGTTTTGTCGGAACAAAAAGTTTGACATTAAAAGCTCGAAAATTAGTACAAGCGCTTAGCAAAAAACCTGCAAATTTACCTTTTTGATACTAGACTTTGAAAAAAAAGACAACTAATGGTCTTTAAGATTTTGTTCAAGGTCAAAATTTCAGCTAAAACGATTTTGGGGAGCGGTGGTGAAGTAGTTACGTCTCCGCCTCTCAATCGAAAGGTCGGAAGTTCGAGGCCCACCATGATCCGTGGTCGTTCCTTGAGGGTGAGGCAAAAATACCCAGCACAGAAAAATAAACAAAAAATTGCGTGTATTTCTTAAGCAGGGGCACAACAGCGGTTCGCCGTGATGAGCTGTACAACTCCTATGTTGGTCTTTTCCCTCGTGGCTAAAGGGTCTTGGAAACTTGCTCAATCAAGAGTAGATGAATTGATCTCTTTTTAGTTGATGACATTTAATTGGAGTATACCCGCGGACAAGAAATTACCATTTTTTCGGTGAGCAAATTCGTTAAAAAATTGCAGGTTTTTTATGAAGGGGACACTGACACCAGTTTTTAAGCTCGCAGACAAAACTTTGACTTTCAGTCTGTCCTCTGTTAAAATTAAAGTCCTTTCAACACAAAAAACCAAAGTCGTTAGCCAATATTTGATGTCCATGAAAAAACCCAGAAAAGACCATTATTACAGACCGTTTTTAGATAACTTGTGGAAACATCAAAAACCAAAAAAAAACAAGTATGTATGCAAACTTTGTTGAAAAAAATTCGAACAATTCTTTGGAACTTTTCTCAGCATCAAGCAGAGTAAAATATTTTTTCTGTCATTGCGATCCAGTAATCTTGATAATTTTTTGACAATGAGGCTCTTTTTTGTCCTTTTGAAAACATGATAATCTGAATATAATTTTCTATCTGTGCTTTGTTTGCAATTTAAGTTGCCAAGTAAGCCATCATAACTAATACGTAGAAGCACACTTTGAAATGACGTTTATACTTTCAATCTTTATTATTCACACGATAACTCTAATTCTACTTGGAGTTAAAAAGTGTAACATTTATTATATTTTTCACATGCTGTAAACACGTGTATTATAAAGTGCATGCATTTTAATCATTCGTAGTGGTATAACAAAGTGATGAATGAAAAAAGATTTCAAGCAAGTCTAAAGTTTAATCTAAATAGACAGACAGCTTTGAAAATGGTAAGTGGCATCAAAAGCAACGGTGAGGCATAAGCACTTAAAAAACTAAATGACAATTTTACACAGAGACGAATCTAGCGAATAACAAATAAGACTGGATTAACTAAGTCGAAAAAAGTAATAATTGAAAAATTGAATGTTTTTTTTTGATAGAAAAATGACAAAATCCAAACTTCAGAAAACCAGTCGAGAAAAAAAACTACCGAAACTAAAAATCTTTTAGTTTTTTTTTCGAGCGACCACTAATATGTCGACAACATGCGGTACTCTTCCCTTGAGCCGAAAAAAAAGTCATAGTAAACTGTAGACCAAAAGAAATTTTGACCGACTAAATAATAAACGTTGAAACTTTTACACCACAACAGACCTGAATTGTTTTTTAACAATTCAATCAAATTGTTTCCTTCAAACGACGCAAAATAAGTTGACGAATCCGATAGCAGGGAAAACGACTACAAATTAATCAAAATCTGAGTTGGTAAGTTGAAAAATCACAGTACTGATGTCAATTATACAAAATTAAGCGCAAGTAAACGTTTTTACTCTCTAAAACATGCCTTTTTAAAGTCCATTTTTTACAACACTTTGTTTAGACTTTCAGCGCATTTTTACATGGACCAAGAGCAAATGATCAAAGCTACCCTCTAAGAAACATCAACTCCGGGTATTCGAGAAAGAGTTCATTAAGATGCACAACTTAGTGCAGACGAGGAAATCTGGAATTTTCAGAGCCGGATTACATTGGTAAGTCTTTAAAATTGAATATTGATAGTTTCATAGAGGGTAGCTCTGATCAATTGCTCTTAGTCTATGTAAATTTTTCGCAAAAAATCCCAGTGAAAATTGTCCAAAATGGACATAAAAAGGTATTATAGAGAGTAAGAACGTGAATTTGCGCTCAATTTTGTCTATTAGTTTAGCATGAATTGTTCAAACAATTCATTTTTTCCCGAATAAAAATCAATTCAAAAGATAATGACAAAAAAGCTTCCAGAGGGACACGAACCTCAATCCTTAGGGTACTAAGGCAACCGCGTTAACCCTAAACTAAGTCTCTTGGCAGAAGCCTGGAATATTGTAAGGTGCAATGACAAAGCAAGTTCACTTTTTTACAGATTTGTAAGAAAAGTTGTTTACGGGAGAAACGTCAAGTTCCCGATAACCAGAAACTTGCTCTCGCAAGTGTAAGCAAGCTAACAAACTCAGATCTGTAGCAAGTTAGAAACACCAATTCTCAAATTAACGCTATGAAATCAACATATTCAACAAACAGTTGAAAAAGAGTCAAGGAACGCAAAGGAACAGAACAATAGGTGACTTTCGAATTTCCAAATAAAATAATAGAAGTCGAAAGCTTTTTGAATTTCTAGAAAAATTATGATTGATACTTTTTTTTGATAAAAATAACCCAAACTGCAAAACTGAATCATAGGTTAAATTTGATTTCGCTGCAAAATCTGATGATTAAATTCCATTATCGAACTTTTAATTTTATCACCACGTTTTTTGACAATTTTTTTTACTTTCGTTGCTCAATAAATGAGTTTGCCTTCCTGTTAAGAAAGGCAATGAACTGAACTTATAAAATCAAACAGCAAAAAATTAAAGCTGAAACTGAAAAAAATTTCAGATTCTTCCTAAAAAACGAAAAAAAGTAACCACGACCTACATAAGAAACTTAAATACGATCAAGGACTAATGACTCCTAGAAATTACAACTATAAGTCAGTTGGCTGAAAAGTTGGCTTATTGAGTTAAATTTATATGAAGTTGGTATTATTGAACCAGGGGCGGATTAAAACAAATTCGACCCTCCTAACCCTTTGTTTCTTTTGAATGAAATTCCAGCTAACCGACCGAAAAAATCTAAGACTTATAAACGACAAAAAATCCCGCAAAGATAAAATTTCAAAACGAACTGAGGCTAACTGTTTGGTCTTTTTCATAGATTACGAGATGTAAAAACCAATGAAAAAGACCAATTAATTAGCCTTAATTATTTTGGAAAGTTTTCTGAGCCGGGTAATTTTGCCGTTTACGCAATAAAACAACAGATTACATAGCACGTCAATGATTGGCAATTGGCATTTTCAAAGCCTATAACATTTGCAAAAGAGCGTTGCTGGTGAAAAATCAAATATTTTAGCACGTTGTGCTTTACATAAGCGCGCGTGATGTTGAGAGTAAAAAAGCCAATCTGAAAGAAGTTTTTTTTTTGAAAAATCAACGATACTTTATAAACTAACACTATTTCATAGACAAAAAGTGTAGTCAAAACAATGAAAACTTCCCTTGTAACCAGCAGTCTTGTTCAACATTGCTAATAGTTCAAAAAAAACGATTTGAAAATTTAAACACTAAAAAAACCTAAACAGCGCGCTTCAAAAACTATCGAACAGCGCAAAATGGAAATAGTTTATAGATTTTTGTAAGATTTAAACAAAACGACATCAATAATTACAAGTTCAAACCGTTTACTGAGTATTTCCGGCGCTAATTAGCAAAACGCAATAGAAAATCGCACACATCTACAGCAATCATTTTGATGCCATTTTTGTTACGAATAGCAGCAGCTGAAATAATAGAGAGTCAAACTCAACCCGACAGATGTATAGGCAGGTTACCTAGCAAAAAGTACACAAGTCACAAAGAAGATCCGTCGGAAGCCAATCAATCCAATCAAGAAAGAATTTCGTACATTTGCTTTGTAATCTTGCTTGGAAATGTCTTCCGACGTGTATACTTTATGACAAGTCCACTTTTTGACCGCACTCCATGAAAACCTGAGACAACAATAGAAGAACAGAAAGATGGGGACCGGTCTACTAGCATGTGTGTCGCTTAGCATGCGGCCATTAGCACAATTAGAATTGAGTTTGTTTTCTCACAATTGCAACTTAAATTAAAATTGATGCTGACCAAATCAACCTGAGTAAATCTTTTAGTTGCATTTTTTAAGCGGCTCACATGCAAGTCGCTACAATACCAATAAGATCAATTCAGACTTTGTGAATGGGAGAAAGCAGTTCAATTGGATAACGAGGTTTAGTGTGCATTAAAAAGCCTAAGAGTGAATATATGAGAACTTGATTTAACTTTTATTGCTCGTTTAATTAATGGCCAGTCTTTTTTTTTCAAATTTGATAATGACGGTTATTTGAACGAATTCCAGGATTCAAGATGTCGTGAGGAGCATGTTTGTTGTGATCATTCAGGAGTTTCTGTGTACCGTGGCAGTATATGTACACGTGCGGTGCTCAGTGGACAATTCTAGCGTGGCCATGATAAATAGTGGTCGTGATGGGGGGGGGGGGGGGGGTTTCAGTAATGGGCGGATGGGTGCGGGTTATACCTGATGGTGGGTTTAAAGAGCACTTGATCCTTGGTACTCATGAAGTCCGCAATGGATCTTTTGTTACTCCTCAATAGCATCAACTCACTCCCACTCACATTCACCACTTCACTCCTGTCACGTCATTATTGCGTCATTATTACGTCATAATTATGTAATGGTTAAGTATTCGTTACGAAATCATCATTATGATGAAATCAAAGGAACACACTTCAAATTAGTCGACACTTAGTCATTACAGACAGTTGCAAATTATTCGGATAAACAGTTGTTAATTTAGCTTGTAAACAATTGAGTAGAAAGCCCCATCAAAAACCTGATAAAGGAGTTTTAGTTTTGCAACTGTCTGTACCCTAGTAGTAGGTTATTCGGGGCAGGGGAAAAAGTTAGTTTAACACCGTGCGTGCAAATAAAACAGTACGAATGCATAAAAGCTTGCAACAGAAATTAAACAAGCTAACTCTAACAAAGCGGCCGTATTTAAATTACTAAATAGCTAGAGATCATGACCTAAAGGCCATAGGCCACGGTTCAATTCCCTCCCATACCAAATAGTTTAAGGGTTTTTGTTCCGATTTTTATCATATCTCGGTACAGACTCGATTTGCTTTGACCGTCACAAAGATCATTTTGTGTACTTAACGGACGAAATTTTTTACGCGAATTGAACAATATTGATGCTCTGAGATTAAAATTAAAAGAAGCTCCCATCGTTATATCTTGGGCCTTTCTTCCGTGGGGGAGAGACACTCCAACCATTCTGCTGCGACCGGTACCACTTTGAGGAGGCGGATGACACAGGGACCCCTTCAAAAATGTCTTGTTAAAAAGTCAAAGTTTTTCTGGAGAAAAAAACCACGCCGAGCATATTTATTCCGTCATTTTCTTGAAAAGTTGGAGCTAAAACTATACTAGACGCGCTAAAGAGAAGTCGGAAACTTAAAGATTTCGCCGAGATGAGAGCCGCATTTTTTGATTTCTTCAAAGTCTGAGTGCTCATTAACGAGATGAATTCGATCGAACTATTGGGTAAGTGGGGAACTCCAAACAAATTCTAATTTAGTTTAAGAATGATCAAGCATGCTTTATAGGCAGTCAGTCAAACTTTACTTGCACGATAAGGAAGTCACAAAAACTTCTTTGAGTTTCAAAAGTAAGAACAATAAATCCTTTCTTTTTACATTAACTTTCAAAACTTGTAAAACAATTGAGAACTAAGTATCTGCAATTATGAAAAAGGCAGAAAAACTATGCAAATTGTTTAACAAAAATGAAAAATAGTAGCCCATTGATCAGGAGCATGAAGATCATCATAAGAAATTGGGATTGATTCGAACATGGTCTCTAAACAAGACACGGATTTTTTTGAAGCATTTATTTTTTTTAAATCAAAGCATTTGCTAATTGATTGTTTGAAGCCGGAATGAAATTATGACGATTCTTCGTTTTAATGTGAACTTATAGATATAAGCAATTTTCCTTTTACTGTTTTTCCATGTTCTTTAAAAGCTGAATATTTGGACCGTATATACGCTGGAGACATTTAAATTTGCACTTTGTACACACTTTCCCACTGTGAATAACTACTAGAATTGCAACATACTAATTACTAAACCATTGATGCCATAACAGGCTTTTAAAGGTTGGAAAGGGGGGGGGGGGTTGGTACTGACCTGAGTGTTTTGAGGTATGCGTGTTGCAGACACTCGTCCATACCAACCCTCCTCGCGGGGTCATACTCCAACATCCTGTACATTAACTCGACCCCGTCTGATGGCATAGGCTCCACCAGATGAGTCAGCGTCTTCTCGTCTCTCTGGCAAGGGGGGAAATTGAAACTCATAGAGCGGGACCTGAAAAAGATGAAAACAATTTTATTGTTATACGACAAAGAATTAAGGGACTGGGTGCGTTTTTAAGCACCTCAACAAAATCTTGTACGTACCAATATGGTATCATATTCTAGCCATATTACATTTGAGTCGTATTCCATAAGTAAAAATCAAAAAGGTTGTCTCAGTGTTACGAAAATCTAGTCTGAATATTTAAGTTTTCTGGCCAATTTTAGTTTTCGGGTCAAATGATGTTTATTAGTTTTGCATTTTTGAATATTTGGATTCGCATTGAATCACGTTAAGGGCACCACAAGGCAACTCATATTTGTTTCCTTAACTGCCCCTTCATTGTTTTTGCTTGTTTGTTCCGACCATTGAAAATAGGGAAGAGCTTTGTATTCGGGTGTGCTTCAGTTTATTTTCCTACAAAATCAGGTACCACAAATAATCATGGGTCGCATTATATATCATATTAAAACTAGTTCAGTCCTGATTCAAACCATCTTAAAATATAGAAAAGGTTTCCCATAGAGTTGAAGAAAATCGACTTGAAATTTTTTTCCGTCTAAATTTCGAGCGAATAAAGGGTGCGATCAGGCTTGTAATAGGCTTATAATCGTTAGTTTTAAACTTAACTGATATAATAACATCACTAAATTTCCGAAAATGAGACTTGCGATCGAAAACTTTTTAGCGCTTTCAAGTGAATACAATTTCAAAAACAAATTATAAACATTTTTTTGCAGAAAATTTGAAAAAAAATCTAGTTCTAGGCTTCCGTTTAGATCCTCATCGCGCCGAACACAAAAAAATACGCAATTTGAGAAATATGGTCGAAAAATGCTGTGTTAATTGCACAGAGGAACCATTAATCAATTCACACATTATACCGGAACATTAAAAGCACGATGCTTATTTTGAGTACTTTCAGATAAAAACTAACTCAAATAGCGCCGCTTGCACTTATGTAGAAGAAGATCGAGAATTATTTTGCAATTGGCAAATAAATTTGGCAACAAACAAAATCTCAAACAGCGAAATAAACCTGAGATGTATTTTTCGTTGAAAAACGAAAAAACCACAAAACCTATTAAAATATCTTCACTTAATTCAAAAACAGTTATTAAAAATGTAGTAACTAACGCTTAAAAAACATACAATTTTGTGTCTTTTTAACGGTGTGATTTTTATAACCTCTAAAAACATCGGTTGGACATCAAAGATGCGAAGCTTGAATTGCTTATGCCGAAAAACAACAGAAATGTCAGAACCCTACAAGTTTTTTTTTTCATGCAAGTTCAGGTACCACAAATATACAACATATGGGGTCGAGTCATAGATCATCTTGCAGCCAGTCATTTAGTCGTTAATCAATTTGCATTAACACTTTCACAAACTAAGTGATGAGAAAAAAGCGGTTTATAACTTTTCGCCTCTATACCCATTAAGACTAAAAGTGAAGAGTTGAATCAATCATTTACGCACGTCAACGTAGAAAAGGCACTAACTGATTTCGTTTTTTCCGCAAATATAACTTCGATCAGTACATTCTGTTTGCAGCTAATTATCAAGTTTTCAGACCAAAAAAAAACTAAACCGACAAACTCACGATCTGTACAATTTTCCAATAACCTATTAAACATAATGGTAAAAAAAAACACTAAAAATTCACAAAACTAATAGCTGATTTGAAATACAGTGGTTTGAAAAGCCAGAGCAAACTCAAATAATATGTCCAGAACAAATCTGTCATTTTAAAACATAGCCACCAAAGAGTTGGAAAAGAGTTAATGAGCTCAAGTAAAACATTAAAAAAAAGTGATTGATTTTTTTAAAACTTTTTTTTTGGAAGAAAAAACACTTTTCTCCACACATTTCAGAAACATTTTATGATACACACGTTTTTTTTCACTAAGCCAGCCCAATTAAAGAAAACTGGGCAAAAATGTAACTTTTTATTTCGCTGGGAAATTTTTTTTTTGCTCAAAACTAAAATCCACCTTTAAACCTAAAAACCTACCTTTCGCGCCATTTACGTTGTCTTGATTGGCGAGCGCAACTTGACTCCTTTTAAGAAATGAATTTGAATTGAATTTAAACATAGTAAAAAGTAGTCTGTGTATTGTTTCCTCTACGTTCATTGAAACCTAAACAACAAGATCAAAAAACAATCGAAAGATTAAAAATAAGTGTAACTTGATAAGATTAACCTAAAAAAAACACCCAGAAGATCTCGATTACAAGACATGGCTTTCATAAGTGTAATCAAAGTGTCAAATTAAAATTGAACTTTAATTTACCTTTTGAATTTGGAGAGCACCTCTGGAGGGGGTGTGCCGAAGAGTTTGTGGATTTTGTCAATCTGGTCTATCTCGTTCTGGCCAGGGAAAAGGGGCTTCAATCTACAATAAACAGCAAAATAGAAACTACAGATCCTCCAAATTTCTATTGAGATCAACTTGGACTTGGACCAAAAGATCGCAGTATTGCTTATGAAAAAAAAAACATAAAGACCCAACTTCGCTTTTGACGGTATTACTGGCGCGAGATTTTTTCGAAGTTTTTTGGGAAACCAAATAAAAATTACTTCAGAACCTTTTCGCAAAACTGTCTATCTATTTAAGCATGAAAAGGAACGTAAATGACAAAATGGCGACAATCACAACGATATTTGGTTAACTAGTGACATTATTTCTTAGTTATCAGAAAAAAAACTTTTTAAACGCCTGGTTGACATGTACACTAACGTGGATATTTCAAAGTAGACACAGCCGACGGACCAGACGTCCATTTTGTAGTCATAGTAGCCATCTGTTAGCAGACACTCGGGCGCACGGTACCTGATAATGCGGGGACAGCCAATAGGTCAGTGAGTACTACCATATAACCATCTATCATATAATCTAATTTTAATTTTCATCCCTGATTTGAGTTTAACTTTCACAAAAACTGTTCAAATTTCCCCTAAAGGTAACGATAATTGCTGTTCTGAGTAATTAAAAAAAACATGAGCACTGAATATGACATTTAAAACATGTTCATCTCTGGCTGTTGAACCAATCTAGTTTCCCACATTACGAGGTCAAACTGTGCACTGGATAGGAGCACAATTTTGTGTCTGTATGTTCCTGGATTCCAGATAAAAGCCTTTAAACATGTTTAAATTTTGTCGGAACGATCAAAGAGAAGGAAAGAACAAAAGAAGAAGAAAGGGAGCGTCCTTGTTGCGGAATCCGCTTGCAATGCACAAACTGCACAGTTTGGCCTCGTAATACATGAACTCAGGAAAAAAGCTGTGCAATCAATTCATTACAGGTTAGTTTCACTGACCATCTGGTTGATATGTACTCTGTGAATGGTTGTTTGGACTCTCTGGACCTGCAGGAGCCGAAGTCAGCCAGTTTTAACAGGTCTCCCTTCACCAGAATATTCTCTGGTTTCACATCTCGGTGGAAGATACCATGTCTAGAATCAAAAAAGTACTAATTATGATCCAGCAAGCAGAGCTTCGCAACACGTGTAATACAACACACACTTAGCATAGTAAATTAGCCGATAGACGATAGCCGCAAAATCGATGTTTTTCAAACGTCGAACAAATAAATCTATCCAAGTTTTTGTGCGTTTATCTTAGTTTGTCTTCAATAAGTACATTTTGGGAGAAACATGCAAATTAAGACAAATGAATGCTAAATTAGTATCAGAACAATAACTGACGAAGCGGTAAAAAAGCTGAAAAAGCAGACTTTATCTGCAACACTTTTTTCGGCTTAGCAGATATCGGACACCATTGATCAAAAAAATTTTTCATAGAAGCGAAGCGGAGCTGCGGCACATCACAAACCTAGAATGCCAGCTAGCTGACAAAAAAAAACACCCCGAAATCAAAGTCAATCTTCATTAAAAATGATTAAAGGAACTACATCTATTAAAAATTTTATAGCATCATTTGTCTCGGAAGAAATGCATTTAAAACGAGACAAGTCTTGAATAAAAATTCTCCGCCACAGAACAAAGCGGTAACTAAGTCGACAATATTTCGTTAGACGACTGCTGCGCCGAAAAGCGATGATGCCCTCAGAACTTGACCATAAAAAATGAAACCAGAAGCTTAAAAGTCCCCTCGACATAAAAATATATTCTTCTACCTGAAAAAAAAAAATGATGTGAAACTACTAGGCAGATTTTACATACGATTCAATCATTTAGGTCGAATAAAGATTTAATTAAAAATGGAAATCACAAAAAAACGGTGTAGGAAATTTTACTCGGTAACCCTACAAGATAGGAACCCTACGGTAACCCTACGGTAACCCTACGAGATATGTTAGTGTGGCACCTCCTAGAGTGGTTTAGTCCTTTGCGGTGGGGTCCGCAGTAATCGGATCTACCCCGGTGTATCCTGGAGATTTGGTCTGAGCTTTTAGGCTGTCGGCGGGTATTTGTACTTTCCATTACCTGCGCGATGTATTGGATCACATGCTTCCAATATGTCACCGACGTTTCATCAAACGAGGTCATTTCTGCTAACGTCACACGCTGCATTACCCAGTGCTCAAAGACGTAAGTGCGAACCTTGGAGAGCGTTGCTTCGGCAAACGTAAGCCTTGAGGTCACTCGAAAATTTTGTATTCCGATTGCCCTGTCTGGATACGGCCTTGAAAACCACCAGACTAAGTGCCCTTAGTAGTCTCGCAAGTCTTCGGATAGAGACGACTATTGGTACAACTTTCTGTAAGTGGAGACCGGAAACGGAGGACTGTGATCTACAGATTCCCCTGATGATTATGAAAGCTTATGTGGAAAAGGGGCTTTCCCGAAGTTTCCATGAACGGTAACCGCCACATTTCTTTTAGCACTGTGGATCCTATGATGTAACCTTAGGAAGGGTTCTTACCCGGTGACTTTAAATAGCTCGGATTCGTAAGCTGGGAAGCTATGCAACTTGTTACCCTTACAGATTGGTGCTTCTTGGTGAAATTAACTCTCAGTGATGGTCCTTTATGACTATGAGAATACTGAGGACTCGGTAACCTACAAGGGGTAAAAATATTAAATCAACCGGTATTTATAATGGAACCTCTTAGAGTGGTGTTGTCTTTTGCGGTGGGGTCCGCAGTAATCGGATCTACCCTGGTGTATATTGGGGATTTGGTCTGAGCTTTTGGGCTGTCGGGCGGGTATTTGTACTTTCCATTGCCTGCGCGATGTATTGGATCACGTGCTTCCAACATGTCACCGACGGTTCATCAAACGAGGCCATTTCTGCTAACGTCACACGCCGAATTACCCAGTGCTGAAAGAAGTAAGTGCGAAACTTGTAGAGCCTTGCTTCGGCAAATGTAAGCCTTGGGGATCACTTGACATTTTTGTATTGCGCTTGCCATGTCTGGATACGGCCTGAAAGCCACCAGACTAAGTGCCATTAGTAGTCTCGCAGGCCTTCGGATAGAGATGACTATTGGTACAATTTTCTGTGTTAGTGGAGACCAGAAACGGGGGACTGTGATCTACAGAATCCCCTGATGATTATGAAACCTTATTGTGGAAAATGGGCTTTCCCGAAGTTTCCATGAATGGTAACCGCCACAATGCTTTTAGCTCTGTGGATCCTATGATGTAACCTTAGGAAAGGTTCTTACCCGGTGATTTTAAAAAGGTCGGATTCGTAAAGTGGTTAGCCAGGCAACTTGTTGCCCTTAAAGAATAGTGCTTCTTGGTGAAAATAACTCTCAGTGATGGTCAGTTATGACTATGAGAATACTGGGGACTCGGTAACCCTACAAGATGAAAAAATTCTAAAATAACCGGTGTTTGTAATGCCAGCACGCTCGAATGTGCGTTTTGCCTTACACTTCCAATAGCCGCCAGGAGGTGAGTCTTGTGAACAAAGTTGTTCACGGGACAAAAAATCTTGTACCTAATTGCAATACACTTGCTCTCACAAGTGTAATAATGTAATTTGTTTAGAAAGGATTGTAAAAATTTCACAGAGAAGTTTTAAAAAAAGCATCGCGTCAAAGTCGATACATCACAAACATAGCATGTGAAATTAATCGACAGAAAAAGAGATTAAAAACCAAACTCAATTTTGAGTTTTTCGAAAAGTACCAAAAGAACTGATTTTACCAAAATTTTCATATATTTGTCTTGGATAAAATAGCTTTCAAGAAAGTATGCATTTCTTAGCTCATCGATTGCCTAAAAAAAGATGCAGCTGAGCCATAACGTTTTAAGCCGAAAAACGAAAAAAGTTAGAACAAACAGAAAACGGTATACTGAAATCGGTGTTTGTAAATTTACAACCAACATAAAAAAAAACAAATTTCGATTAGAAAGGGCGTTTAAAATGCTTGTTCAAAACTTGCTCAAAATCTTGTTCAAAACTTGCTCAGATCATCCTGTGAAGGAGTCATCCACCATCTTAAGTCATCATGTGAATACTAATGATAAGAATAATAAATTAAGCTGCGTAATAATCGGTTTTTTGATTATGTTAAACAATTAGATTTATTGTTCATCTTCGATCTCCAGAAACATAAACAACAATCTCGGCGAAAGTATTTTAAAAGTCAACATGACAAACTGTATGATGAGTGCTCTAGGCTTTTTGTTTACCTAGCAAATAGAAATTGTAATACCGCGGTGAAGCAGAGCTTCGTGCCGCTGGCGATGCAAAAAAAGAATGACTATGAAAAAAAAACAGATGATAAGACAAATCAAAAAGCAAAAAAAACTACAGAAAAAATGCAAAGACCGAAAAAAATCTGGAACTAAACGACCTGTATCATTACAGAGATTATAGGCGATTCCAAAATGCTAGGAACAAACCAAACCTTCTTAAAAACAATTCTGCAGAACTAAGCTGACAAAAACAAGCAGAAAGGCGATATTATAACTTAACCGAAAACTTTTCAGTTTGCAAAAAAAACAGGTCCCGCTATAATCAAACTCTCGATCTTTGTGACCTCAAGCACTGTTGTTCACACCGCGCCAAGTGGACAGAATTATCCCAGAATTGAGTTTATAAAAAACAAGTAACACAAGTTGAGCATTTTTTCGTGCAAGTTTTGCGAACAACCTTAATTACGGGAAAAAAGCCTTGAGCCCGTTTGCAGCACCTTTGCTTATCTCAAAGGTTGATATAACAAGGCAAGCCAAGTTGCACAAAATTATCTGAACACAATGAAGTTTGCTAATTTAAAGGCTACATTGAAGTTTAGAGTATCAAACTCACTTGTGCATGTGTCTAACTGCATCGACGAGTTGTAACATGTAGAAACGCACTCTGCTCTCCGGAAGGTAATGTCTCTTTCCTTAAAAACAGAACAAAAGGTAAACTAATATTATTGTCAAAGTGGGTTCGAAAATGTGGTAGATTACATGCAGAAAATAACAACTGTAGAGAACAATCAGGTGTAAAAATCGTTTCGCTTTTAACCTAATAAGCGTCACAACTTTCACGCTGCCTTAAAAACTAACTACAGAATCCAATTAATGCGCAAATAGCTCAAACTGTTCTGATCACAGTCAGTTTTGCAATCGAAAATCCGACAATTTTTGAAACTTCGTTGTTTTGTTTCGCTGAAGACGGTGGAGGTGTGCAAAAATTCACTTGTTTGAAAAAACGCAGACATTCAACCTCAATCTTATCCACCAATCTCAGTCTTATCTATTGCTCTGTTTTAATCTGAAAACAAAAGTATGGAGACGGTATTTTCTACACCGAGAAATCTTTTTAAAGACGGAATTGCAACATTACTTAGTGGTTCCTCTTTTAAGAAAAAAACGAACGCTAAAATACGTTGTACCCTCTCACTTTAGCATGATCTGAGCAAACATAAAGCTAAACTAGATTTGTAACGGCCACGCAAAAAAACTCCAGTCTATGAATAATCAATCAAACTGTGCCGTAAGTGTCAATAAAAATTCAGATGACGAAAGACTATATAAGAGAGGTGAACTAAACTATGAAACATTAAAAGGAACAGTTCTATATCTAGGTTTTTTTCATTATGACTGAATTTTGGTTGTTGATCAGATGAACTTTACCTGTCTTTTTATTATCCTTTATAATAGCTAAAAAAGCATGATTGATAATCTAATATGAAGAACATGATTGAAGAACAAGATTGATTATCTGATAGCGTTTTCTATCTCATTAAAAACCTAATCGTTCAAGCCATATTTTTGCGTTGAGCGATAAGGAAAAAACTGCGAATTTGTTGTTAAATGATTGTACACAAATGAAGATTAGATTTAACTATTCTATATCTCTGGATAAATTGACTTTGAACTAATTCTATTAAAAAAATAGTTTTTTTTTCAAGATTCTCATCTGACTTTTTGATCTTGTCTTTTATTCCGAAGCAGAGAAAGTTTTAACTAATTAATTAAAAAATTAATTAGTTACCTCTGATGAGTTCGTATAAATTCATGTCCATGAGCTCCATTACAAGGTACAGAGTGCACGAGGTAGGCTCACTAAACATATCACAAAATAAATTATTCGCAAAACAAGAAGCCAACGATAGAATTGATATGTCATTAGTCTTACAAAATCATCTCCTTAAGCTTGACGATGTTTGCATGTGATGACAATTTGCGCATGGCCTGGACTTCTCGGATTTTATTGCATTGATAGATACTAAAACAAAATGAAACATTTTGCAAATTATCATATAAATAAGATAGACATCGTTTTTTAATACGCCTTTTTCAAACTGTTTTTAATTTTGTTTGTCTGACAACCAAAACGCGTTATTGAGTGAAATTCATATAGCAGCAGCGATATGGAAAAATCGTTTGAAATGGAAAGCATGATTTTTCATCAGCTTGAAAAATAGCTTCGAAGCAAAACTGATAAGAATTTTGTTTTTGAGACAACTTAATTCAAAAAGAAACCGGAAAAGGCGCATTGAAATGGGAAGACAGGTGAGTATGCAACTGTATTGCCAGTCACCCCGAAAAAAAAAGAAAAGGCAACGATCATTAAACCAGACCTGTCGTAACGCTGTTTAAGCTTCTTAACAGCCACAGATTCATCATTGCTTCGATTTCTGCATTCAAGAACTTCGGAGAAGGTACCCTCACCCTTCTTCGAAACCACCATATACTCTAAATGAGACGATTGATGTTTTAAACTCAATAGATTTAAATAAAAATTTACAGAAGAAAAAATTATCCTACTGCTGAGAAGATTCCCTTCCTTGGCTTGAACAGCATCGCGGTTGCCTCTTTGGGTAGATTGAGCTGCTCTACTATCAGCATTTTCTTTGGCATAAATAGCCATTCAATGACAAAAAGCAAAACCTACAAAATCGGTCCACTTACATCCTCAAATAATCCTGATAGGATGACAATAAGTAAGATACCAGATGAAATTAATTTAGGTTTGAATGCATTAGCAAACTTTCTTATAAGAATCTAACTTTTTGAAGATAGAACGTTATCCTTAATAAAAAAAAGCTAGATAAAAACCAAAATGATGCGGAAAACTTTGCTTTTATTTTTTGACATGTTCGATTGATCATGTATCCAAATTTCGAAAAACTATAATTGAGAAGAGTCAATTAAGTTCAAAAGATTTGTATAACGTTTTGCCTTCTGATTTCTGCATCAATTTTTTTTCAAGTATATCCGGGTGAAGGCTTTTTTTGCCCCACGAGTAAAACTAAGTCATGAGTCAACAACAACTGACGGAATATCAGCTACCAATTAATCATGAAGCGCTGATTGAAACGGAGTCAAAATTCAAAAAGGCGCTAGCAGCAAACAAATCGACAGAAGAAACAAAACAAATCCAAATAATAATAAAAATCATCCCATCCCCCATTCTCGAAAGAAATTTTCAAGTCAGCCGAAAATCTGATGTGGGCATACAGTTCCCCACAACAATGCAACAGAAGATGACAGTCTCAAAAACAATAACTGTGACAAAAGATATAAGACAAATACAGTGGCAGTTTTTGCTCCACCGAAGCAGAGCACTTTATAACCAGCATCAAAAGCGAAGGAATCATTCTACTTAACAGGACGGGTTTTCCCATAGAAAGTTTTACCAAGGGATGCTCACACATAAGGTAAAGTGTCGAGTTTGCCTTATGTATCGAGACAAAGTTAATTCACCAATTACCGGAAGACATAATTGATAGCCCTATAATCCAACGTGAAGCCTGAATCGTAACTGAACCGGGTCAGTATGTTTATACAGGAAGAGCATTACTACAAGTTAAATTACGAAACGAAGAACCAGAGAAAAAGCTGACGGAATCAGAGAAAAGCTGACGGAATAGTTTTACGAATCGAGATGGATGGCTTTAAAATGGGGGAATATCGTTTCACTTATCTTCAAAGTGCAAAGTGCAAGATCTCTTGACGCCAAGAAAAAGGTCATCAAGTTGATTGGTCCAACATAGGAAATCAATATTCCAATAATCAGTCCCCACAAAAACCAAGCTCCAATAACGCCAACGACGAAAAAGAAAGACAATTTAAACGTCGAAAAAAAAAAACAAACGCAAAAGTTCCTCTGACGAAATAATGCTAACAAAAAAAGAGCGTGAAATTTCACCAACCTTTTGGTGGGTTTTAACACGGAAGAAAGGGTATAAAATGAAATTTATAAATTCCGGAAAAGACTTTTTTGGAGGTAAGTTTTAGGAAATTTTCAGATATTTTTTCCGTCAAAGTTTTTGTCCTAGGAAATTCAGCCAAATTACACGCACTATTTAAAAAACGTCGCGTACTAAAAAAATTTTCGTTTCGTTTTATGCATTCAGGAGGCAAAAAGATGAAATCTTACAGATATACATCTGAGTTTTCAGGATAAATACAACGTTTCAATTGTTTTCATAACAGACTCAAAAAATTCTGGTGGTTTCTTAACGTTAGGGTCATCAAACTTGAATCCTGCATAAAGAATTGCTTCAAAAACAGGTTTCCTAATAATAAAATTTGTCAAAAGTTGATTGAATTGTTATCAAAATTATGTGAACCCAATTTCCTTCCAAGCAACTTCGAAATCCCTGAAATTAGGCATCAGATTTTCAAAAACTCAATCAAAAAATCTCATGAAGGGTGTTTTTACCGCACTCAGTTTTGAAAATATTAACAATTCTTCAATTCTTAAGTTAGATGATGCACGTGTCAAACGATTTTCCCAACTCAGAGAAAAAATTGTTGATTATTGCCATTCCCCCGGATTGGCACAGCGGTCCCTTCCGTCGCAGCACCAAAAAGACATTAGAGTCGAGATTTAGTATAGTATAGTGATCATGCATTGTTGAAAAAGAGGTTAGAATATTCTGGAATTTTAAATTTCGAAAATTCGATTGCAGACAGTTTATTTCTGAGAAATACGGGAAATGGCCATTTTTGGCTAAAAAGTGACGAAAAACACAACAACAACCAATTGTGTGAGAGACAAATTGTCTGAAAAATAGAGGAAAATACGAAGCCTTTTATCGTGCCGATCGAGCACGATAAGAGAATTAATTGGAGACAAGAGACTGAAAGGAGGCAAAGGGAAGGGGGAAGAAGGAAGGAGCAGCTCCCTGCCGTGCCAGGAATTGGGAGTAATAACGACGTTATTACAGAAAAAGCACGGAGTCGGAGGCTCGGCCCCCAGAGACATCATATGGTGAAGGACTGTGATAAACTACTTTTTTAGCTACTCTGATGTCCTGAACATTTAAATTAACACCTGTATTATTTGTTATTTTAGAATATGATAGCTAGGAAGGGGAAAGGTTCAATCCATCTCCAATGGATTTAGTATAGAACTGTCACCAAAAACATAGTAAAATAGGATACCCGAGCCGTGTTTTTAATAGCAATCACGTAGTATGGGGATCCGAGACCCAGCTATGTGATTATCTTCGCATGTAAACGGAAGCTGATTAAAAGTCGTTTGACTGATGGCCTGAAAATACTAACTTTTTACTTAGCCCTAAACAGACCAGAAAATCAACTGGCTAGGTCGAGATGGTGAAAAACGAGTAGAATTCATGTAACTGACGCCGGCCAGTCGTCTATAGGTACTTTTTCTACGCTCCGTCACTGTGTAGTAATTGGGCGAAGGTTACATAGACGTTTTTATGGCGCTCCTGGGTGGGCCTGTCAAAAGCATAAGACCATCATGATCAGGAAAAGTTTCAGCGAAGAACCCTCCGCTCCGGGCGTATGCCCGAGCTAGAGGCCGTGTTGTCCTGTATTGTATTAGGAGGAAGGTGCCGAACCTCCGCCTGGTACTATTTAGCTTTTTAACTTTGTTAAGACAAAAAAATCCGGGGGCCGGAGGGTTAGGTAGGAAGTGTAGAGCCCGCTTATCCCAAGGCCCTGGGACCGAAAACAATAAAAGAGAAATCGTAACACCAAACAAAAATAGTATAAAACCCAGAAAAAGCCAAAAACAAATTTACTTGAAGACAGAGAAGTACAAAAACAGTAAAAAATCCAAAAAAGACCAAAAACAGTTAAAAAAAGTGTAAATTGACAGTTAACATACTATTTCCGGACGGGATGAAATCTGACCTTCCTATTGTTGTTGTTTCAGATTGATTTAAATCATTTCTGATCCAAAAATTGAGTGTTTGGAAGGTGGGTTAAGTACCCTTCTTTGAGTGTAGTTTGAGTGTTTAAGCACGTTAATGATAATATTGCCGGTGACCGGAGGGTAGAGTGGGAAGCTGACAGACGTGTTCCGGACTCAACAGAGAGGGCATCAAGGACAACATCCAAAACGACTCGAGGGTATCGTTGATACAATTTTAGTATCATTTGGGTACTATTTAATTTAAACTTAGGTGGTGGGTGGCACAATTGGCGCGGTCCGATTGCAACCTTCATCGATTGCGAATTTCCGAGTTAAAGGTTTTAACTCGAATTTTTTGGTGCAAAGGAGGGTATAGTAATATTGATTAACGACTACTAATAGGTAATTATCCTTATTATACATTACTTATCTCTTGTTTGGACCCGAGAAACACCCCAAATTCTTCGAAAATACTGATTTTTGACCAAAAAGTTAACCCCCAAACATTTTGGATATCCGAGCTTTTCTGATCAGCAAATCGCTTCTGTACAGTGAACTACTACGTAGTTCGATCACCCTAACTAAAGAAACCGCGCGAAAAAAGATTCAGTAGAAGTTGGTGAAAGCAAAATTTTTTCGATCAAAATTTTGATACTTTTCCAAATTTTGTCAATAAGTTTTGAGGATAGAGTTTTTGAGTTTTTAGAGTTAGAGCGATAAAAGTTTTTTTTGTTAGGAGCGTGATAGCATAACGTGCTCAGTTGCTAGAGAGATTTTGACTAACCCTCCGAATAGCTCCGTGGATAGCGCTAGAGATATAAAGTTTGGAAAAGGAAGGAATCGAGGGTCCAGATTTAATAGTTTTTGGCCAAATTTTTGTTTGCAAACCAATTTTGGTCCGATTTTTAGCATTATTTCAATTCCGAACAGGGAACCTACGCTCTTTTTAATTATTTTTAGGTACTTTCAGCAAGAATTGCGGAAAAAGTCTCTGAGAACCTTTATAGGCAGTGAAAAAAGGCCAACTTGACGAACGCGTTTTTGGTGATTTCAAACAAGACAAGCCGATTGATCGGAATAATTTTGGTACCATAAGTCGACGTTTTTGACCAATTTTCTGAATGGCAACCGTTTTAAGGTTGATAACTTCAGTAGAGGCAAATTTTTTTGAATTTGTTAGTTCGGAAAGTCCAAATTTCAGGGAACCCTCTGAGCGGCAGAAAAATTTATAAGATTACCTTTTTATCCACCTGGGAAGGTTGACCGAGTCAGCCAACCTAGTTTTAAGTCAATTAGAGTGCAATTGGAGGTAAAATCATCCGTTTTCTCAATTTTTGGGGAACCGTCCGTAGCAATCCACTGGAGTCAGCTAAGCCCCTTAGCAAGCCTCTTTTGTAGAAATTTTCCACGCAACCCTCCGATGAAGTTAAAATAACCCCCGGAGTTAATTTAGCTTGTTTTGCCACTTTCTGAGACTAGTTGGAGACCCTTCTAAGTGACATAGGTGGCTAAGGTACCCTCCGAGATAACCCTCCGGAGTAGGCTAAGTATCTTAACAACCCTCCGAAGTAACCCTCCGGATTGACTTAGGCCCCTTATCAACCCTCCTTAGTGAAGACTTAGAGGTACCATCGGGGGTAGTTTGAAAATCTTAAAGGTATCCATTTAAGGTCGGAATAGGAGGACAACTACTAACAGAATGTACATATTGGGAAATAAGGAGCCCAGTTGACCTTGAAATTCGCGATCAATTTTGGATTCTAGATCGGTTTTATCAGAAAAACCCGAACAAATTTTTTTGATTGTTATTTTGGTTGTGTGGTTGCCTTGAGCTACTTAATGGGAAAGCTCGGGCAATCCTGGAACATATAAAAGAAGACCTTGGTGAGTTTATTAGGCAATACGCACCCACTTAAGAAGAAAAGGTGTTCCCTGCTCTCAAGCACTTGGA